CTATTAGATTACATTAGTCTTGATACAGCCTCTGCCACCACATCAGATCAATTGCTCTGGGCCCCTTTGATCAGCTCCATCCGGGGTAGTGGTCATGTCCGGTTAGGGGCTCTGTTGGCTCTCAGGTGACTGTTTCCTCGTGGCTGCGTGCAGCGGGGCTAGGGGAGGGTCTGTGCTGACGGACATGGGTTACTGACCTGGTAGCTTGGCTGCCCCTGGGTGGGTCCGGGATGGGCGTGAGGTTCTGGGGGCGCTCCGTCTCTGGGCTGGGGCCCTGGCCGGGCCTTGGGGGCTTGGGTCCTGGTTGGTGTGTTGCCGGGGTTGTGGGCGGGTGGGTGCATGGGGGCCCGGTGCGTCGAGCCACCTGGGGGGCTCTTCAATTGGTGGGGGAGATTGTCACATCTTGCAGGAGCTTTCCGCTCTACAGGAGAGGTGGAGGAAGATCTCAGCCTGGGCGTCTATTGTCTTATGTAGTCTGGAAGATGAGTGGATGGTGGGGTGGGTGCAGTTTTCTCTGTGGTGGGGTTGGGTGGACTGTCCCGGGCTCTGTGGGGCCGGGAGGCGCTGTTGCACTGGGCCCCGGTCTGGATGGGCCTGGGCCCCCTTTCCCTGGCGGGTCGCGGAGTATGGGAGTGCCTACTGGGGTCAGCGGGGGAGCTGGCCCCAGGGAGGGGTCACTTGCGCCTCCCTTCCTTTCCTCCCCATCTCCAGCTGCCTCCCTCTTCCCGCTCCACCACAACCACCCACACATGCAGGGCCTTGGAGTAGGGGTATGTCACCAGGGTGCAGAGGAGGCTCCCCCCCCCCCCCCCTTTCTGGCTGCCTCTGCCTCAATTTTATCCCACAACTTAGACATTCACATTATTCACACTCTCATTACACATACATATAGGATCTTGGGGGTGGGCACAATCACGGAGTCCAAATTACCATCAGGGTGTACACCTCACCCCTTGCGTCGTTGCCCACCTCTCAAGGTTAAATACACGTAGACATTGAGGGCTAGCAGGAGGGACCATGCTCTTACCTGCTGCTCTCTGGCAGGTAGCTCCATGCCCTCCTGGGTTTTAAATGCACCTTAGAACACACATGCATCAACACTACAATGAGTGGGTGGAGGGAGGTTTGGAGTCTTCTCTCACCCCCATTCTCTGCGGCCTGCTGGAGCGGGGGGACTAGGAGGAGGAGTTGGCCGTCCAACTGCGGTCTGGAGTGTGGGGCCTCCCTGCTGCTGCGGAGTCGGGGCGGTCTGCCTCTCCCCACCGCAGGGAAAAGGGTAACACCACCTGGGTCTGGGTGCAGTTCCCTCCTCCAGGGGCAAGGGTACCTAGACCCGGTTTGTAGAGTACGCTTGGGGAGTGTGATCGTGTGTACAGCGTCTCTTTATGCCTGTCTCCACGTTGGTTGAGTGTGGAGTAAGTGCATATGAGAGCATGAGGGTGGGAATGGATGTTTGTGTCTGTGTGTGCCTGTATGTCTGTGTCTATATGTCAGGTTGGGTATCAGACGCCACCTCTCTGGGGACACCTCAGGCCCTCCAAGGTTTGGAGGCCTATCTCCCCCTACCACCACTTCCCCTGCCAGTGGCGGACTCCCTCAGACATCGGTGCGTTGGTGGTTCTTTGTGTCTGGGGATGGGCGTCCAGGTACACACCGGCTCACTCCTTGGCGGCCACTTATCGGGGCCTGGAGCCTGGGGCTCACTCGGGCCATTTCGGAGGTGGGGTGCCCCCGGCCTCTTGGCCTGGGGCTCGGTCACTCAGGCACAGCTGGCTGCCGGAGGAGATCATGGGCGCGTCACTGCAACTCCCCCTGGCTTCTGCTCCGCGGCTGCTGAGTGAGCCCTCATCTGGGACTCTCCTCAGCTCTTTCTGGGACAGTGGCGCGGCTGCCCCTCTGTTGGTCTTCCTTGGTCTCTTGTATTCTGGGGGCCTCTGGATGTCTGGAGTCTTGATCTCCTCCATACCTGCTTCATGCCCTGGAGGACAGGGCAGTGCCCCCCCCACACCCTCTAGCAGATCATTACATGAAGGAACCTTTTAAAAAAACAAGCGCGTCCATGCTCACAGGTGTACACACGGGTGATCGCACCCACAAACTACACCCTTTTCGGCTCCTACCTCAAAGCACACTGTGTTCTGTTGATCTTATGTGCTGCACAATAATGTTTAATATTTAGTATTTACTGTCATATTCCCATATATCATTGTGATGTTGTTTATTCTATTACTCTTGCTCTCTTCTGCTTGTTTTCTTTTTTCTTTCTCAACAGGTGATCCAGGTGATCGACATATGCATTTTCCTTTTCTTTTTTTTTCTGCCCGTTCTGTTGGTTTTTGTTTTTTGCCCTTCTCCCCCGTCCCTCTTCTCAGCTGTTTCTCTTTCCCTCTTTCTTTCTCCCCTTCTTTCCTCCAGTCAAGTCTGTCCCGTATTCAGCAAGTGAAAATAAAATAAACAATAAAAAGGTGAATCAAATGGACCATTATGGCAAGGCTGGGATGGTCAATTTGGTAAAGTAAATCCGTTGGGCATCTTTCTTTGCCTTTAGACAACAATTCTGATGGCAAAAGAGCCAAACGGGACAGGCAAAAAAAAAAAAAAATGCTCAGAAAGCTCGGTCAGTAAAAGGAAAGTAAATGTTTGCTCATTTGTTTGCCCTCCTACCTATCGAGCAAATGTAACAGTCACTGTCTCAGAGATGAAGGCAGAGAGAAAGCTGATGATATAACTCCTCACATTAGGCTTGGTGACTGTGACATTGCAACCATTAACACACATTAAGCCACATAAAGTAGAGCTGACTGTAGGGAGAAGGAAATTTTAGTTTTTAGGGACCCCTTTGTGTGCGTTCAGTACTTTGTGAGAGTGTGTGTGTTGTGTGTGTTTTTAACTGGTACTTTGCCCCTGTCGACCTTTATCCTGAGTCGCACCGATTTCCCCACTGCTCATCTGTGAAACAAGCTGAGATGTGTGCACTCTGTATCCTACAGTCAGTGTTTCATTTCTATTTGGGAGGTTTGCAGGGGAACAATAAGTTCACCAAGTGCATTAAGAATCAGCTTACCTGACGACAGATGACAGCATCCGAGAGTTCATGTCCTCTCTCCGGCTGCTCATCTGTTCTGCATCAACCACTCACGTAAGGATAGCAAGTAACATATTTTAAAGACTGCTAAAAACGTGGAAATTAATTAATAGTGTAAAAGTGTACAGCAGATTTATAAGAGCGCAAACCAGCCCTCTTGTGGTTATGAGTCAAAATTACAGCTGCACGTGTGCTGGAGACAGATTATCAAAGTACTTAGAAAATAGCCTGACCAAAGGGTATCTTAGCTTAGTAGCTACATGAAATCAGGGGGAAATACTACATAGACTGTACATTAAAGATGACACATAGTTGAGGCCCACTGTCTGTGGACTTTGCAAGACACACACTAATTAGTGCTAAGCTATAACTATGGGCTCAAAATGTGGTCATAAATATTTTGTACTTGTAAATCAGGATTTGTATGTGTAAAAAGAATTATGTGTGTGTAAAAAAGATTTGTGCATGCGTAAAAAAGATTTGTATGTGCGTAAAAAAAGATTTGTGTGTGGAATTAGCCAAAAAAAAACCACCTGCAAGTTACAAGTACGGATTTTGACCCTATTTTTCTTCCTTTCATCTGATTGGTGAATGTCATGTCAATCACAAATGTAACAATCCAATCAGAGAACAGATGGGTTTGGCTGTCGGAGGGGCGCTTTTTTTGAACTGCAGGTCTTTGAAGGGAATAAATGCCCTTTTACATGCCAACACAGCGTTTTCCTTCATCACCACAAAGGAAAACAGTCTGTGGTCGTCAGAATTTGGTGATTTTTGTGTCACGGGACTACGTGTTTAACACAGGGACTTCCACAGCCTTTTCAACAGCGCTGCGGACCGCGGGGGGGGCGCAGTGTTTTGGAAATGACAGTCTTCATTACAAAGCTTTCTTTGTTATGAATTAGCATACATGTTTTTATTGAACATTTGAAGAACTAGCAAAAAACCCCAGAAACTCTTATAGAGGACATAAAGTCAGAGATAAAAACGACATGGAGCAGGTGCATCTAGTACAGGTAGAGCTGCTGCAAAAACCCACAGAGCCCAGCAGCCAGCGCAACAAATTCTGGATCCTTTGCTTTTAGTTAGCAATTAGCATTAGTAGCACATCCTGCGTCTGATGTGAAAGCACTTTTATGCTGCGCACTGTGACTCACAGCCATGGTTCCGGGTCAGCCCTGACGTTGTGTTAAACTAATCCTAAAGTAATAATGGTATTTCTAACCACTGACATACCACAACTTTATCCTTTCAACAGCTGCTGAAAGTAAGGGGACCTAACTGCTATCAGATATTTATATAGAGATTACCCTTCAAGGACACTAAACCAAGGCACAATGTACATTTCAATTCCTTTAATTTTAAATATGTTTATATTGTCTATCCTGTAAAATAGTCAGATGTGTATTCATATTAATGTACAGAATTCACCTGCTTGCTGCTACTACTGCACATTCACCCAATGTATGTATATATGTATATATGTATATATATATATATATATATATATATATATATATGTATATAAATGTTCTTCCTCTACACCCCCCCCCCCCAATTTTTTTGCACATGTCGAGGAGCGTGTCAGGCTACATTTCACTGTGTGTTATACTTGTATAACTATGCATGTGACAAATAAAGAACCTTGAACCTTGAACCTGCAGTTCAAAAAAGTGCCCCTCCGACAGCCAAACCCATCTGTTCTCTGATTGGATTGTTTAATTTGTGATTGACATGACATTGACCAATCAGCTTAAAGGAAGAAAAATAGGGTCAAAATTCGTACTTGTAACTTGCAGGGTTTTTTTTGGCTAAGTCCACACACAAATATTTTTTACGCACGCACAAATCTTTTTTACAAGTACAAAACCGATTTACAAGTACAAAATATTTATGACCACATTTTGAGCCCATATATAACAGCTATTAGAACTGAAAATGATGCTTCTTGGATGGTCTGTGCCATCATGTGATGGATTTAGTACTGGCCTAATCACCATAAGCAAGGCCTACCAAATAATTGGCTACACATCCCTGTGTTTGTGCATCTGTCAATTAAAGTGACCACATCTTAGAAAATACATCAGTTAAAAAAAATGAAACATTAACAGCTGAGTTATAAATAAATTAAGCAGATATCCAGCTGTCTTGCATATAAAAGACTGGCTGCAGAGAGTAACATTTTTTGTAAATGTTAAGTTTGTTTTGCTTTGGGTTTTGTTTTTGTTTTTTAAGTTGGACATTTTTAATATCAGTGTCTGTGAGGACTGACTCACTTTTGGGACCAGCCTCAAGTGATCATTAGAGGAACTGCAGTTTTTGCCTTTTCATAGGTTACCCCCTGGTCCACTGTGGCGATCTACTTTCTAAAGGTCACCCTGAAACACTTGTGAAATTAAATATCGGGTTTGTTTAATTGTAAAATTGTGTTTGTGAAATACACAGTCAAGTGATTGTGTATTTCACATTTTAGGTACCAAGCAAAGCAAATCTGTGCAAGCCTTGAGAGCAAAGTAAAAAATCTGTGTTTTTGACTTGAGAACCAGTATAAAGGAAAGTGTTTTGCCAACAAAACCCGCCAACACCTTTAGAAAATGCATCGCAGGTGTTTTCTTCAGTCAAATCTTGCAGTGAAAACCTATAAAAAATATATTGAGTATAGCCAAGAAGTCAATTTGACGGTTATTACTACCATTATCAGTTGCTTATGTTTTCTGTGAATTCATGCTTCTTTATCTAAGAATTCCTTCCAGCACACACTGTATGTGTCAGTGTAAATTTTCTAGAATTTCAAACTGATTTCCAATTTACTCAGTTTTATTTATATGGTACCCCTGCAACAGTCACTGCAAAGTATATTACACCATAAGTTAAAGATCCTACAGAGAAAATCCCAACAATCAGATGAACGCCCATGAGCATGCACTTGGCAACAGTGGGAAGGAGGGACTCGCTTTTGATAGTTCGGAAGAATAAGTCATCTGCTGTGACCAGTTGGGGTTGAGGGTGAGGTGATTGAGCCATGTTTCAAGATGTTCTAACTAAAGGATGAGCCTGCATTTTTGGAGCTACAGTGGTTCCAGTCTGGAGAGTTAGTAAATTTGTCTTTTTTTAATGAAGCATGTATTTTGTTTGTGCTAGCAGGAAAAATAAAGGTGTAACCGATACAATTAAAAAGTATTCTTGCATTCTGCAGTCTCCTTCTGTGGGTTATAAAGGCAAACTGCTGTTTAGACATTTATGAGGAAGTGATGAGGAAGCAGGATTTTTCCTGGACAGACAAGAAAATCAAACATGCTGGCGTCTTTGTTGCACTGTCATAACAGGGCAGTGGAGGAAGGGGAAAGAAGACACATGTTCAGGATCTACCTGTAGGCTGCTGCTGGAATTGAAATGAAACATGCACGTCAAGGTCAGAAGCTTTACCTGTAGTTGTTGCAGCTGCATATATCTGTGGCAGTGTGAACCTGTCTTTTCCCTCAGAGTTCAAACGTTACAGTGATAATGACTGCACAGAGCATTTTTGTGCCATAACAGTACTTAACAGCAGCACACATCTAAAAGCAGAGGAATTCATCAGTCTGGGAAATACTTGCTCAGTTAATTTGGTTCATCAGGAGAAAAAGAAATTTGTGTTTTGAACTGTTGGTTTGAAAAAACAGGGTTCTGGCAAATGTGTCTGTTTTCTGACCACATAATTTGTCCATTAACTGAAAGAATAATTGATAATTGATTAGAACATACACCTTTAGTGTAAATGCTTCATTGCGGCCTAAGGCAAATAAAACAGCCAAAGAGGGCAATTTTTGTTAATTTACAGCACTTTGGGTTTTCTAAGGAACCAACGGTTTGGTTATTCCTTCCTGTCATTGTTGTTTTTGTTGCCCCCTGCTGATTATGAGACAGTATGTGGTGCTGATTCTTAGAATTAGTTGGAAGAACATTGACCCCCATAAAACTGTTCGGTTGTGTTTTCTGGAGTCAGTCAGTCCCACCAGAAAATCTTCTTACAGCGAGTGCACAACATCTGGTCACACCCTCCATCCTTCTGTAACGTAAAGCACAACACACGTATGAGCAAATTCAATCAGAAACTCTCTCTGAACTGCTCTGTGCTCGCAAGTTTGTACGAATGTGCTCAGGTGAGTGCAAACCTCTATTCTAGTGAAGCATTCAGGACAACTCTTGGTATTGTTGGCAATCCAGTTGTCGCTTAGTTTTTTTTCTGCAATGGACACCAGTAAATTGCAGCCATATCTATTTTCCAGCAGGCGCTTCCTCTCCCTGCTGCCACTGGCATAGTCCTCCCAGAGAGCCTTCACCCCCTCTAAGAGACACATAAAGGACACCAGCATCTACACTTGGACTAAACACACATGTGCATCGACTCAAAGCAATCATCCAGTTACCTCCTGTACTTTCAAACCTCCAAAGTCTCATTTGTGAAACAGTTTTACATTTACTGTGACTGGATGTTGTCATTTTCATTATTCTTTGAAACCTTTTTCTTGTGGTCACACAGCTGTGTACCTTGTGACTGTGGCAGGTCTATTATATATCTTTCAGCATATTTTTTCTTGGTCTCACACTTCCCCGTTCCATGGTATGTTTTTCTGCATATGACGCAGAAGGCAAAGCCGCACTCAGAGCAAAGTGCTGCCTTGCTGGATTTCTCCAAAATCACGGCAGAGCCGCAGGATGTTCGAGGGCAGTACGTCACATCTACGAGACAAAAAGATGCCAAAAGAAATGAGATATTTATGAAAAAGAGCTAAAGATGTTCTTTTTACCAGGTCTAACCCAGAAATGTAATAAATAGATTCTGATCAGTCTATGAAAGCCTTCATCACACAATCAGTATAACAGCAACAGAAAGAAAACAGACCAGACATGCTGTCCAGAGTCTTCTGCAGCAGGAGACGGTCATAGCGGTCAAACAGCTTCTCCCCTACCAGACTCTGCACCTACAAACACAACAGAGATGAACAAGCAGAGACACAAAGTGAGACTGAGGTCAGCTGATCGAAATTCAAACACAGAGGTTTCATTTGAAACCTCTGTGTTTGAAACGCACAGTAAGGAAATGGTCAGCAGAGACTGAAGAGGCCCCGAGGGACTGTTTCCGTTCTACTGTGTGGGACAACCTCTGCAGCCCCCTGGAGGATGACCTCAACAGCATCACAGACTGCATTACAGATTACATGAACACCGTAGCCATCAAAAAGGTATGGTGTTTTTCTAACAACAAGCCATCGATAAATCCTGAAATTAAAGCTCTCCTCAAGGAGAAGAAGAGAGTCTTTAGATCTGGACACGAACAGGAGCTGAGAGTCGTCCAGAAGAAGCTGAAATGGAAGATAAGGCAAGGAAATGAAAACTACAGGAGGAAGATGGAAGAGCAGCTGCAACAGGACAACATCAGAGGGGTTTGGAACAGCCTGAAGACAATCTCAGGACAAAAACCAACCCCTCAGGCTGCAGGAGACTTGGGGTGGGTGAATGACCTAAATTATATTTTAATAGGTTTGATCAACCACCCACCCCTCCCACAGCATCGTCCCCCCCTGCTGCAATCTCCTTCAGGGACTGCCTCTCCTTCATCTCAGGACTTCACAACTCTCAGCTTCACGCCTCCCAGCTCCCAGTCATTACACCCACCCCCGGCTTCTGTGGACTCCAACATACACCACCCTCCCCCAAAATCCATTCTTTCTAACTCCGCAATTCAAGTGAGGAACAAGCTTCACAAGATCAAGGTGCGTAAGGCTGCAGGTCCAGATGGCATCAGCTCCAGGCTCCTGAGATGCTGCGCAGATGAACTGTGTGGCATCCTAGGATATCTGCTCAACCTGAGCCTGTCACTGGGGAAAGTATCACAGCTGTGGAAGACATCCTGTGTGGTACCGGTACCAAAGACCTCCCATCCCAAGGACCTCAGCAGCTACAGGCCAGTACCCCTGACATCGCATCTGATGAAGAACCTCGAGAGGTTGGTTCTAAACCATCTGCGCCCCCTGGTGAGGTCTTCATTGGATCCGCTACAGTTTGCTTACCAGCCTGGCATTGGGGTGGAGGACGCCATCATCTACCTCCTGCACCGAGCTCTGACTCACCTGGAGAAGCCTGTAAGCACTGTTTAGCTGGAGCTATCGGGAGTGGACCAACACATGTCCCAGTGGATACTGGACTACCTCACAGGACGCCCACAGTATGTGAGGTCACAGGGCTGTGTCTCTGACACGCTGGTCTGCAGTATGGGGGCCCCACAGGGTGCCGTCACCGTCCTCTTCACCCTCTCCACACTGCCACCTACAGAAGTTCTCTGACGACTCTGCCATAGTCGGCCTCATCACAGGTGAGGACGACTCAGAGTACAGACGGTGGACTCTGGACTTTGTAGACTGGTGTCAGCAGAGCCACCTGCTGATCAACGCCGGGAAAACCAAGGAATTGGTGGTGGACTTCCGGAGACGCAGACCCACCACACTGACACCGGTGAACATCCAGGGAGTGGACATTGAGATAGTGGACTCTTATAGGTACCTGGGTGTTCACCTGAATAATAAACTGGACTGGAGCCACAACGCTGATGCTCTTTACAGGAAAGGTCAGAGCAGACTCTACCTGCTGAGGCAGCTGAGGTCATTTGGAGTACAGGGAGCGCTTTTAAAGACTTTCTATGACTCTGTGGTGGCATCCGTCATTTTTTACAGTGTTGTATGTTGGAGCAGCAGTTTATCGGCAGCTGAGAGGAAGAGGTTGGATAAACTCATCAGGAAGGCCAGCTCTGTTCTGGGATGCACCCAGGACCAAGTGCAGGTGGTGGGAGACAGAAGGACTCTGGCCAAAATAACATCTCTGATGGACAGAGTCTCCCACTCCATGCATGTTGCTGAACTGCAGAGCTCCTTCAGTGACAGACTGCTGCATCCTCGATGCATGAAGGAGCATTTCCGCAGGTCCTTCGTCCCTGCAGCTGTCAGACTGTACAATCAGAACTGCTCCCAACAAACATAGATGTTTACATCTGCGCTGTAACTGCAATAAGTTAATCAACCGATTCACACTGCAACCTGGTTTGCCTCTTATCTGTAGTTATTTTTATTTAATTTAATAACTGTACAGTACTCTGTTTATAGTAACCATTGTCCTTAATGTAAATATGTAAGAAATATTGTGTATGTTTCTGTTCTGTGTACTGTTTGTTTGTATATGGGTCTTTCTGGCTGCTGTTAAAACCAAATTTCCCCGTGTGAGACAATTAAAGGATTATTCTATTCTATTCTATTCTATTCTATTCTATTTGACAAGAAAGGGCAGTCATCAGTTCTCCTTGTCTCCTCTGTGCTTGATCCTTCTACCTGTAGCTATTTTTAACAGCTTTTAAAATGTGTTTTGATCAGAGATGGGCAGTCTGATAACAGTAACGTTACAGTAACGCGTTACTTGTAACGCGTTACTGTAATCTGATTACTTTTTTCAAGTAACGAGTAAAGTAAGGGATTACTATTGCAAAATCGGTAATTAGATTACCGTTACTTTCCCGTAGGAACGCTGCGTTACTGCGTTACTAAAACCGTGATTTTTTTGCGAGAATGTCTCATGACAGTGACGTAAGCAAGTGCCACGTTGGTGACAGCAGCTGTGTGCAGATCAACAATGGATAATATATCGAGTGCGGGAGAGAGTATGAGCGTGCAGCGTTTAAAGCGTGGAAGTACTGACCTTACTTTGAGTTTGATTCCATAAAAAGTGACAAAAACATTAGCGTCCATCGTGCGTGGGAAGAAAACTTCTTTTTACAGCGAAAAAAATCCCTAAACTTCCGAGCAAGCACCGAGTAGCTACGACGTGATGGGAAACTCACAGACACTCGCGCGGATTCTTCAACTGACCGCAGCACACCTACACCAGGGTAACCCTCCGCCTACCCTGCTCCTGCTTTACAGGTGAAAATAGAGCAAAAGGACCGCTGAGTCTTTGACTTTATTTATTTTCTGCTGTGTTTTACTTGCATCTGTTTGAAAGAGTGAGTGAAAACACAAAAAATATTTTATTTTATGTGCTGGAATGTGTAGAAAATAGGTTTAAATGTTAAACTAATTTATTCAAGTCAGAGAATGTTGCAGATAATTACATTTTTGCTTGATGCATAAAGTTAAAAGATTAAAACTGATAAAACAAGTTAAAAAAAGAGACTTTTCCATTTGATTACATTTTGTATGATGGATTATGTAGAAAAAGTAGAATTGGGCTGAAAGATCTATCACTTTATCACCTCTTCAGGTTGTAAATCGTGTTTTTAAAAAGTAACTAAGTAACTAAGTAATTAATTACTTTTGAAAATAAGTAATCAGTAAAGTAACGGGATTACTTTTTGGGGGGAGTAATCAGTAATTAATTACTGATTACTTTTTTCAAGTAACTTGACCAACACTGGTTTTGATATTAGATAAAAGGACCAAACACTACAGTTGTTGAAACCATTCTGCAGGTTGAAGGCTGCGTGTAGCTTTTACCTGTGCAGGTGTAGGGGCACCAGCGCAGTCTGCCTGAGGACAGGTGACACCCCGGACGTTCCCCTCTGTGATCTGAACCGTACAGAACTCGCAGAGACAGGCCCGGCAGAAGACGTGGCCACACGGTGACAGCTTCACGCACTCGGACCCGAGCCGGCCCATAAAACAAACCCCGCAGTCAAAGAAAGTGGTGGCAAACACTTTGTGTTTCTGGGCCGCATCATAGATCAAAATGTGGGACAGCAGAGTCTGTGATGGAGATAAAAAGAGACCAGAGAGGGTTTGCTCTTCACTCTGAGGAGAATCTGTGGGCTGGACCGGCAGAGAAGCAGCTCCAAGTTCACTTGGATCTAACGTGCCTGAGGAGGTGGAGGGAAGCAGCGATGAGAGAGAAGCATCTCCTTCATTTAAGAAATCTTCCCGGACACTTTGATGATGCTTGGATTTCTCTGCAGATGAAGAAAGATCATCCTGGAGATCAACATTAAACTCTGAGGCTTGGAGGATTGTCACATCTGGAGTGTGTGTGGTTTGGTTTTGGAGTGCAGGCTCTGGAGAAAGAGCTCTTTGATAATCTGAGGTTAGATCACTCTGGCTCTGGTGAGAGTTCAGATCATTCTGGTCATGCTTGCAGGAGTCTAAAGCCGAAGCTCCCTGAGAGTCTGCGCTGCTCCCGTCTGAAGGATTCTCCTGAACTTCCGAGGATGGTACAGAGAACTCTGGCTCTGAATTGTTCTTTGGTTCTGAGAGTTCAGCATTTTGTTGGTCCTGGTTATAATGCAGGGTGCTGCGTTCATCAGGAGGAAGATCCAGCTTACTGTGGATGTTCAGGAACCTCAGAGCATCTTCTCTGAGAAACTGCACCCAGGAGAAGAGCACCACAGCTCCCCCAGTGGCCTCATAGAGATCAGCAAGATGAGCACGCAGTGCAGCCAACTGTGGAGGGAGAGGGAGAATAGATTGTTGTCATCTTTACTGAGCCTCTACAATGTCCTGTGAACCTCTCACACACTGGCAGGCTGAACATGTGACCAACAATGACTTGACTGCTGATTACCTGTGTGTGAGTCAGCCAGCTGCAGGTGAGGCTGAAGGAGGGAGGGGAGGAGGAGGGGTAGTCTTCAGGAAGCCCAAAGTTCAAAAGCAGCGGTGGAAGGAAGGAAATATCATACTGACGCAGACTTTCACCTTAGAAAGAAAAATACGAGCTCATCAGATGAACTAATCTCTTTCTGTAATGTTTGTTTATTTGTTTTTAAATAATTTGGGTGTATTCGACAGAAAATATTTGATATATTCTGTCACATGAACTCAAATAGCAAAAGCTATAAATGATGCTTGATGACATTAAGCTGTTCAAAGGTATATTTAATATAGATATATTTAATTCATACATCATACTTCCCATTTAAGGCCAACAAAAACATGCTCATTACATTGTTACGGGCTCGCCTAATGCAGAACAAGTGTTTAACTCATTTTACATCATTGGCTACATAAAACCCATTTTTATCTTAAGTAGATGATTAGGGCTGTAACAGTAAAGGTGCTTCCTAATATTCCAAACCAACATTTTCCAAAAACATCAGATCGGACCTTTTCGGTCCAGCAGTCGCGTGTTTGACAACCCCGGCGCCTCTGATTTACCCTCTCTGAGAGCCACGCTGAAGCCGACAGGAAGCTCGACACATACTCGGATTTCTCCGGCAGACTTCGACTCGTCCCGAACAAACTCGTCCGCATCAAAGATACTCTGGAGAGCGAGCAGCTCGTCTTCCTGCTCCTCCAAGTCCTCAGTCATCCCTCCACTTCCTCCTCGGTCTGATTTTGTGAGAAGCCTTCCTTCTGTGGCTTCTTGCTTGACTCTGGGTCACACCAGCTGTTCCTGGTCCTTGTTTGTCCGTCCCTCTGACTCATCAGCGTATGATGTAAGAAGCAAAGTACAGGCAGCAACCTCAGCCTACTGTAACCCTGCTGCTAATGCAAACCAGTCTAACAGGCCAATCAGCATGTTTGTTTGTTTTTTAGTACTAATACTCCTTAATAGTCCATTTTGCACTTTTATTTGCAATCCATGTCTCTAAGAACCCAACAATACAGTACACTATTAAACTCCTCTCTCCTTTAATTTACTGAAACACATTACAGAAGAATACTCCCTGCTCCTCTGTGAACGTTTCTCCTTTAAGTTCCTCACAAAGTGATCTAAGAGTGCTTTGTTAAATTAGCTAAGTCAATATTAGACATAATGAAACAGAAATTTTAATATCCATCAGTTGTGGCTCTAATTTTCCATCACATTGACTTGGCTTTGGCTCTAGAACTTTTTCTCTGCCTTGCTCAACAGCTTTAGTTCTCTCTGGGATTCGAACTGGACACTCTGGGGGCTTTTTTGGATTTCAAGATGGCAGACAAAGCCCTGGGACTTCTTTGATACATCATTTTTCTGGGCACTGTTAACAGATGCTGGAAAGAAAGAAATACAGTATTTACATGCTCTATTCTTCCAAAACTAAATCAGCATTTCACAAATTCTCTGCATCATCAATTGTTCTCTAAATATCATTTTATTATTCAGATAAGTGATTCATATATTCAAAGCACTTGTGACAAACTGTCATCAAATATTTTAAGGTTGCTGAAGTTTGGCTCTAACTGTTGGGTGGAGAGGCTCTGACTCCCACCTGACACCCGGATGCACTCTTTCTTGTGTCTTTCTTCCCAGGAGTTGAGCTTGCAGGTCCTGGAGCAGTAGAAGACCTTGTTGCAGCGCCTGCCCAGGGTCAGATTCATGGACACGGACCGACCGCAGTGAAAGCAGAACTTTAACACTGGTTTCCTGAGAACAGGTTTACACATAAAGAAAGAGAAGTTCCTGAAAGCTGTGTTTAGATTAGGTAACAGAGAGCAGAAAAATAGGAACAAGAGCAGCACCTTACTGTAGATGAATGTGAGTGTATGCGTACCTGTGGTCTCCTGCTTCCTCTGGGAGGCTTTTACTTTTGGGAGGGACACACACAAACACACTTATAATTTAAAGCCATTTTCAACAATGAGAGCAAGTGTTAGCAGGAGTCCTTAGCAGTAACATATAGCACTGTGCTAACGTCTTGCACCACTCCTCATTTCCGGCCCTGTAGATGTTGATCCATCCTCAGCAAAAATGGTCTCAGTGACTGTCAATGAAGTCAAGGAAGGCAAGCAGGGAGAAATGTCTGGGGCTTGCCAAATTACACAAGAACTATACTGAAAATCAGTGGCAACAGGTCTGAGTAATGACTCTAAAAATGATATTTTTGGTTTGAATTGGTATGTACAGAGGAGGTCAGGAGAGAGGTACAGCAGTGAGTGTCTACAGCCATCTGTAAAACAGGGTGGAGGCTCTGTGATGGTTTGGGTTTGCATTTAAGCCAGTGCCGTTTGAGATCTTGTCAAAACCGATGGAGTTACGAATTCAGAAAAGCACTGTCAGATTTTCATCCACCATACAGTTCCATACGTGTGAGTGGTTGCGTATGTAGGATCAGTGAAGCAGGACTTTGCTGTGAGTGTTTACATGTCACCCTGATGCAAAGACCTGTTAATGCTGTTTACCCGGCTTAGCCAGGAATTTAGGAAATTTGTGTTGGTTTTCTCTTGTGGACATTTACTGGCTATTCTGATGTTTTAGCTCCATGCGCAGTCTACAAATGAGGCAAAATGAACTCTTAAGACTTGAACCACTTCATCCATTTATTAGTCAGCTGTTCAAGGAAAACGAAATACTCAATGTTAAAAATAGTCTTCAAAAGTCATTAAAGTGTTTATGAACAGAGGTGAAAAAGTCAAAATGGCATAGCAGGGACTCAGTGCTTACATACATATATACATCAGTGATGTGCGACTTTGCACCACTTTTCTGTTTTTCAAGGTTTCTCTTAGAAGCCTTTCAACTTGTAACATTATCATAATTTTTAAGACAAACAAACAGACGGGTTAGAGTAGGATGAGATCAGTTAGTATTTAAATACTATCCAAATGTTCAAATCACAATGTCATAATCGCACCATGTTCTTAGGTCTTCATGTGGAAAATCTGCGTCTCATACCTTGCACTATAAACACGGGCTTGGATTGAAAAGCTATTTAAATGACTGTAAGGAAATTCCCTTCACAATTCCACTGAGGAAGTTAAGATAAGTGTGCTGTGCTGAGTGATAAGGGATGTAGAGAAACAAGCGGGGTGGGGGCCGAACTTCTCAAGCTTTGGTCTCGACCTCTAGTGTGAAGCTTTCCATGGGTCCTTTGCTCAGGGCCTTGATGTCATCCAGGAGAACGGTGGGGGTCAAAATGTGGGAAGACCCTGTATAGGATAAAGATAAATAAATTGCATTAAAAAACAAACAAACAAACAAAAGAAAAGTCCTGTCATAATTCCGCTCTGCTCCAGTAGGGGGTGTAAAACAGCAGGAAATAACGTATAATAAGTGTAATCTTAAAACTCAGTGGAACCTTCCCGATAATCGTCACAATCATAGCTCTCCTTAGTTCATGTGCTGCAAGCTAATATTTCCCAGCATTCTGACTTTCTGCGCGCCTGTTTGGTACGAAGCATTGTCCAGCTGTTTCCTTGCACTGAGTCTTACCAATGATGACCTCGCAGGTTTTCATTGCCCTGGTGACCTCGTAGGCGCAGCGCATCTCAGAGAAGCTGATCCCTCCTATAACAAAGATGATGAGACGTGAGCCAGTCCGGCGGTCATCCTGAGTGCTGGCTCTGTGCTTCTGCCGTGCGCTGTGGAGAAGAAGGAGGGGCATCGGAAATATTAACTGACAGAGCCTTAAAGAAGAAAAAGCAGACGCTGCTTCTTACTGTTGAAACTGGAAAATCGACCTCATTCACCTCAATCAACCCTCTAAGAAACAGAAAGTGGATGTGGAGAGATAAATCACACAGACTGACTGTATAAGCATAACTAAGTGGCACAACAACACAAAACTGTAGGGTTGTTAAACTGTATATTCTTCAGTTAGAAAGAAACCAAAACAGCAGCCCAGTTCCAGCCTGGTCACTCACAAAAACCCACCTCACAGCCCCGGAGCCATTCCAGGCAGCAGGACACTCGGACTGGTGCGGCCACTCTTTGGTGTCCAGTTTGTTCTCCACGACATCCTGGAAGTAACGCATGTTTTAGAGATCATGTGACATGGGGAGCAAATCTGTTTTGCAAGCCAGTAACAATTTTAAAGTGCAGTAACCTTCACTCGCTGAGGGGTCCTACCTACATTAAATTTATATGCACATGGTCCAGTGGTCATCTTCTAAATGTTACGCAACGTGTATCTCTTTGACCATCATGCGCATACTTCAGTTTTCTTTATATTTGGAACACAAGTTTCAGTCACTCTGTAAAACGATTTATTTTGTGGGTGACGTCACAACTTAAAAGCAGAAGTCGTGCCATTAACAGAGCTAATTAACAGAAGAACACATGATGAGTAATTTTGGTGCCAAGGGAAGGTGTGATAATAACGTAACTACATCATGCATTAGTAGATGTCAAAACACAGGCTACTGCTTGACAAACAATTTGCTTTCCTCAAACTCAAAGTCTCACTGTTTTTTTGCATCATGCACCTTTATGCTTAGAAATACCTGAGACTAGCAGACGAGCTTTAAGTTATCTGCAGCAGATATTCAGCTCCTACACATCAAATCAATTTGTCTTCTGCTGCAAGAGGAAACATTTTAACCGCATTTGACAGGAAACCAGGTGCTCAGGTGAAGACCACTGATGTTTTTCTTCTTTTTTTTTTTCTCCATGTAATAACAGGAAATGCAAGTGAAGATGAGAAGAAACGAGCTCATGTTACAGATCCTATAACATGGAGTTAGATTCTAATCTAATATAAACTTATTTTCACAGTAACCTGTAAGATGATTACTAAAAGGCTCCTCTCAGTTTTGTTTGCTATTAAGAGCCTCCTCTTCATTGGATACACTCCATCTGATTAACAACATGGATTTACAGAACTGAGACTGAGTGAAGAGAAGAGTTTGGGGGAAAACTGCTAATGGGGGTATTTCCACCTCTCAGTTCCACACCCATTTCAGAGAAACGGCTTCGGCAGCTGAGTTTTAAGAGCAAGTATATATTTTCTTTTCATGATTTGTGGTTGACAGGTCACATGACTTACCAAAGTGAAAACAAAGCACAGTGAAAAGGTACATTTAGAAAAGAAAACCAAAAACTGGCAGCACAGTGAATTTCACACAAACAAAGGACAAAGATTTTCACCCAACATACTTATAAGACAATAAAAACACTAGTTCTGAGGGACTGAGACAGAAATAGAAGGACCATCCTCTGAAGAAAAACAACAAGGCAACAACTAGTGCCTTGTTGTGGTTTACACTTGCTAGGATGCAGAAAACGGTACAGAACAACACAAACTTGTGTGACACAGCTTATCAGATGACCCGAATCTGATAACCTCCTTTTGTTCTGCTTCCATAGTTGTGCTCATGAATGCCCCTTAGATGAGGACTGGGGTAGCACAATGAAACAGATACAGTTACATGTTCAGTTTGGCATCAACTACTCTAATGACCGCTCAAGGCTGGGTACACAACAGAGTCAGCTCACACATGTTCAAATGCCCCAAATCAGCAATGAAATGAACAAATGTTTACAGCCTGAAATAAAAACTGCTTTTGGCAATGGATAAATTCATCCTTTATAACAACTGTGAGCCAGGGTAACTTTTTATTTATAACTCAAACATTTGTACTTGCAGAGGCTCAAAGCTTTGATTGACAGGTGTCGAAAAAGTTCATTCCACCAACTGAACTGAAACCTCTACACCCCGTCTGTGTGTTGGTGTCTGTAGAGCAGTTTTACTTTCACTGTCTAAAGCATAATATGGACTCAAGTGAGCTACAACAAAGCCCGCAAGTTTCTACTTTAGTTTCATTGAATTTAGTTTTAGATAGATTAATAAAATCCATCACTTAGCAATCATTAGCAGCTAGCAGAATCGGTGAATTGCAAAGGTACAGTTTATGGATGCTTACTAATGCAGAGACAATGGGTGCAAAGACAAGCTAGGATACCACATGATGATGTCACTGACCTCCATCACATCTTTTATGGTGGGGATCCATCTGGAAAGGCTGTATCTCTCCTCTTGGGAACGCTCTCGTCGGTTGGGTTTACGAGAGAAGAAACTGGGCTGGAAATAAAAGTACATCAATGAAAACTTTAAAAAATGGATAAATCAAAACACTGAAACGTTTTCCTTTTCTCAACCTACCGTTATGATGATGGGCACGCCCAGCTCTTTCCAGTTCTGGATATACTCCGGTTCTCCCTCGATCTTTACATGCTCAATAAGTTTGTTTAAGTTTTCCTCGGTTGTCCCTGTTTACAAACACCAAACAACCAAAAAGCAAAAAAGACAGATGGACAAATTAGCACCTCTAATTTTTAGTCAAAAAAAGTTGCTGTCAGCGTTAATCTCGTTAAAATGACGTTAACGCCATAACCGCATTAATGCTGCAAATCTCGGTTAGCGAGTTAACGCGGATCGCCCCGTGTGAGGGGCTGCACGGTGCTAATGCGTTAACGAGCTAACCGCGCTACCGCTGTGCAGGCCTTGTGTGGGGAGATCTGCGTTAGCTCGCTAATGGAGATTTGCTGTGTTAATGCAGTTATGGCGTTAACGTCATTTTAATGAGATTAATGCTGAAAGCACTACTTTATTCACGAGAAGGCTGATGTACCGTTCAGGCTGAAGATGTAGAGCAGCACAGCTCTGATCTTGTCATGTTTACTGTATGGGTTCAGCAGCACAGGCAGCAGAGTCCTCATGGGATCTTTCACCTTTAACCCATCCACATCGGCGCCTACTGCAAGGTCCTGCACAGAAACATACAGCATATTACACATAGTACACATGACACACTTCCCTAAAGCTTTGATTAGAAGGTCACACTTGGCCGCATACAGTAACGGTACTCTGCAGGTCAGGAAGAGTGTGACTGCCAGATCTTGATAACAGAGCATAAACAGACCTGTTCAGCTTTGCAGAGTTTCTCCACATTGTTTGCGAAATGTTTCATGCAGTCCTCAGCCAGCTGCAGATGAATCGTTTTCTAGAATCCAGGCAGAAAACTGTTAAAAACATCAGGTCAACCCTATGTAATAACAGGCTGCAGAGGCGCCACACCCGACCACAATATAAGGATTGCGTAGCCCTTACAATAATAATAATTGTTGTAAGAGTTGTATCTGTCTTAAAACCAACAACAAGATCCTGGAGAAAATTCTGCTTTAATCTCACATTTCAGATGAACACATAACTTCGAAGTAAGTTCAGTTATCCCTACATAAGTTTTACTGCATACCTCTGTCATCTGTTTACGGAACGCAGGCATCTTCTTCATCATTTGAGCCAAATTGCTAATTGTGATCTGGGGAAACAAAAAACATACATATATATTAATATATATGAACACATTAAATGTTTGCTCAAGATATGCTTTTCAAAATGAAACGATCACACAAGCAGAAACCCCTGCACTGTACCTTCCCATCTGGCTGTTTCTTGCTAGCAGATATCTCCTTCACCATCTTGGGAATTTGCCTGTTGTAGGGAAAACAAAAATGTTAAGATGAGTGTTCTGACAACAAGAAGAAGATATTGCCATACTTCTGGTTTCGCACACTTACGCTGAAACCTCTGCGATGTGCTGGTGCCTCAGCTTCACCCAGAGCATGTCATCCTCATTCAGCAGGGCCTGCTTCTCTAAGCCGTCTCTAGCCTTGTACCTGGACACAAAATGACCCAGAATAGCAGTATCTAGTTTCTCATGAGCACAAGAGTATGAAGCAGTAAGCAGATTGTACACATATATCTCTATATCTATCGCTCTATATAAAATACAGGAAGTAGACTGCATTACTTATAGGTATCGTTTTCTATATCAATGAGATCGTAGGCCATGGCCTGGTAGGTCAGCTCGTGCAGGATGGGGGTCACAGGATCAAAGCCTCTGTCGACTATCAGCAACTGGGCTTGGGTCTTCTCCTGGTGATGTAGGGGGAAAAAAAAGTTATATATTATTAAATTATATATAAAAACGGGGATAATTCACTTCCACGGAGCAAGCTGTCCAAACTTTTGCCTTTTCAAATTTATAGTAAAGGGAACTGTTTAATGTGCTTGAGGCAAAGGAGGGATTATTTTATTCTTTCATGTGATAAACAATACAGTATTTTAAAATTCCCATTTACTCCCAGGGCTACGACCTTGTTTATCCTGAAACCATCCTTTGTTCGGCAGGCCTCTCACCTTTTTCTTGCCACTGTCATCCAGCTGGTAGTGTGTGTCCAGCTTCCGGTCCACCAGCTCTGCAAGGAGTTTGGCATTCTCCATGTTGCCGTCTCTAGTTATGATATAAATGTTGTTTCCGTCAGTCAAGTGAACATTGAGGTCAAGGTTAATCCAGTAGTTATAAAACACAAAACTGTATTTTCTGTAAATAACAGCTGCACTCTGCTCTTTACATATCTTTACACTCTTACTTTCATCAGGCTGAATAGGATCAGCGCTGCTGTGAGCGAGTAATCTCACTTGCTCAACTACCATGTGATTCTTTCTACACATAGCTATTTCTTTGAACAGTGAACGTTATAAGATATATGTCTACTATATTCACTCGGAACAAACACATTCTAAAACCAGTCTGTTCAAAGAAACAAGTGATACCAACGCTTTGTTTTCAAGCCCAGCATTATTCCTGCCATTAATACGGAACCTATTCTGACTTTTTCTCCTAAAAAGTTTCACTCTGCTTGGGGGCTCGGGTGTATTGTTACCTAAGACACTACATGTTGTCTGACTTACTTCTTGTATCGGATCCCTGGGTACTCGTCTAATGTGGCACAGAGCGTAACGAGCTGGCCTGCCAGTGTCTCCAGTGTCTTCGTTTTGTCCTGACTCTTGGGGCTGTAGATGCTTCGGAAAGCCCCGGGATTATCGCAGGTGAAAACCTTCAAAGTATTTAACACCACAGTGTAAACCACAGCCGTCATCATTAAAGTTCCAGAAGATACAAATTGAGCACAAGGATCATTTTTAATTTCTCATTGTTTCCCGAACTCGAGGCTATAATACATTAAGCACCTGCTTGTGTGTTTCTTTGTCTGATCACATCTCCTAGATAATCAGCAGATGAGCAATCAAACCTGGTACACAGATATATCGTAAAGGTTCTCATCTATATCAGAAATTATGACACCATTGTGTTTCCTAACATCTGCCTAGTAACAGGCTAAAGTGACCCATTTTCAGAATATATGCACATATACCACCTTTTACTTCAATGACAACATCTAATTCACATCAACATACGATGAATTACACATGATACGATGGCAGCATGTTGCCTGCCAAACAGGAAGCAAGCGGCTAATAAACAAACAAACCCAGTTTTAAGCCTTTGTGAACCTACAACACCTGGTGAAAGTAACAACTCATATCTGCAAAAGCTGAATTCACCAGTGTTTTCTTTCGCTCACTGCAGCAAGACAATGCCAGTAACGCGTATACAACAGTAGTTTTCTGTTTCTGCAACTATCCCACCTGCAGCCAAAACCCATTGAGAACACACAGTGAATTATAAACGGGAAAGGTTGACAACGAAGCCGCTGAAATGCTATAGCAAGGAAAAATGTGAAGCTACAGGATTTACTCTCTTTAGGACTTCAAGAAACACCCTACACAAGGCAAATTCCCTTCCTTCAACAACAGGCAAGTGCACAGCCTGCGTGCGTGCCTGTCAACTGAGGGGAATTTTGACAAAAAGAGGAAATGGACTATTACAAAATAAACTAAAAAAAAAAGAACACTTGGCTAAATTTTAAACACTTACTTGTGCTTCCTGAGGCATGAAAGAGATGTTTATTTCCTTGCAGACCCTTATGTGTTTTCCACAGGCTTGCCTCATTTTGTTGAACAGGTCATCAGGGCAGTCTGCAGATCAAAAAAGCTTTCAGTGCCCACTTTGATCGTAAAAGGTATATCTGCTATTTGGCTGATGAAGCAGATTTAAGCACCAACACAGGAGTTACCTACAGTCAGTGAAATAGACGTACGCAGCTTTGTATTTGGGTTTGGGCTTGAAATCCTTTATAAAGGCATCCACACACTATGAAAAAAAAATAGATTTAAGAACTCACAGAGTTTGGCAGTGATATGTTAAAGAAATGAAAATGAAAAAGTTTTAACAGCAAACCTTAGCAGTAGGTGTCATAAAGTAAATGGACTTCATTTCGAGAACAGGCTCTCTGCTTTTGAACAGGTCCTCCACAACTAGAAACAGAATACTAGTAGTCAAAAGTAGCTAAAGACATACACGCACAAATTATCTTTGATCAAATAGCTTCGTGATGTAAAAATAAATAAAAGGACATCATTCCACCTACTTGTTATCTTCTCTGACATCAGGTCGGACATTTTGCAGCATGACGAGAGGAGCTTGGTGGTGAAAGGATCCAGAATCAATATCTGTGAAGAAGACAACGTGAAAATGCTCCTTTAATTATGCGTTAAACAGTAATATACTCCCATGCTATGCAGCACCACATATCGAGACAAAGCGTATGAGTGAGAATCAATCATATCAAAGCTGAATCTGTAACTCGGAGCTTGTCCATTTATCCAAGTACAATCCTGGGACTCTGTACTGAGCACATGGTGGGTTTCTTACCTTCCATACTTCAGAGTTTCTGCAGTCTGTAATAATTGTGTCCTGTATTCCTGTAAGGAGCACATAACATGACAACATGTAAACACAACAATAATCTGAAAACAAATTATCGTTCATGATGTCACTGTTTAAGCTACCTCTTAGTTCAAGTGTGCAAAACAGAAAGTGATGTAATCAGAACTGCAAATATCCATTATCTCGCTACTTATGCATAAAATTAAAACATATTAGAACGTTTATAGCCTAATGTATAAAAGTTATGCAGTTGTGTTTCGTAATATTTCAGAGTCTTGGTACAATTGATTTTTCATATGTGTTTGGGTCATACCACGTGAGCGTGAAAGGGTGTGGTACTAGTAGTTTTCTAGATAATGGAATTTTAAAACAGCTCCTCAAAAAAAGAGTGCCAGAAAAACTCAGATCCCGTCACTTTTTTTTTTTTTTGTGAGATAACAGTGAGGTCCTGGAGTTTTACATATTTTATCTTAAGTAGTAAACTTAAACTTAGTTGGGGGGGTTTCGGCAGTTTAAAAAAAATTGATTAATTAAGAAGGAATGACCTTTGAACCAACTAAAGTATTTACGTACTGCCAAGGTTATGTCAGCTTTCATGAGTGGAGTATTAAGAACAAAGGCTATTTCTGTCTAACTCTGTTACTTGATTATTAGCCTGCTATTGTGCAAACCTGAGTGATAGCACTCTCATTAATTTAGGGACAACTGTTCAGCGACCTTGTGGTCATTTTGTAGCCTGTAGTGCGTAAACTTGAATCATCCATACATCTATCCCAGCTGTCACAGGGCGAAAGGTGGGGTACAGGTCACCAGTCTGACAGAGTTCTAACACATGTCAGCAGCAACAAAACTTCATTACCGCTGTTCTACTGGGCTGCATTAGTCTTAGCTGCTTGTTTGACCCTCATTTTAACGGCAACACAAACCAGCCTTCTTGGTGACATAACCTAACCACAGCCAACAAGAGGAAGGCAAGACATCAGGATAAGGATACAAATAATACGCCAGACTTGTAGCAATCCCGCTGCATAAACGAGGTGCGGTTGCAGACGTACAGTGACCTCACCCATGGCTACTGCTACAAACAAGTAGCCTAAAAAAGTCGTTATGTTCTGACCGGGCCAAGTGTTAGGTCAAGTTGCGTCTGCGGCTTTTTCCTCTATCGGTTCTACTGCGTTTCGTAAATTTGTAATTTTCCGCTCAAAGGGAACAGCTGAATGAAAATGTTCGCTGTTATTCCAAAAGCTAAAGATGCGCAGGAAGAGGTTAGCTAAAACAGCTCACAGTTCACGTGCTAAACAAACGCCGTTGTGCTATTTTTCAAGAGCAGGAAATACTCTCCTGTTGGAGTAAACTTACTTTTCCAAACTATTCTTTTCAGCCCGTGATCTGAGCCCGTTGCCATCTTGTTTTTTTCCCCCACTGCGCCGCTTCCCTTCCAGAAATTCACGAAGACAAACTCTGACGTCATTCGCGTCACCAAGTGTGCGACAGTGAGCTGTAGTTTTTTAGTGATGAAGCGCACAAGACATCTATCTATCTATCTATCTATCTATCTATCTATCTATCTATCTATCTATCTATCTATCTATCTATCTATCTATCTATCTATCTATCTATCTATGTTACTGTCAAAGAGGTGGCTCTGAGGCCTCCAGACAGTAATTATGTCCATGTCACATTTAGTGGATATATCCTTGAGTGCAGAACATGATGCTTTCAAAGGTAGGTTTTTTCCATGGCATTCAACCTACCCCCATCTCCCTGCTTCATTATAAAAAGACATTTAACCCCCCCAGTGGGAGGGGCTTGCTGCAGGTATTTCAGCTGATAGATGTTTAAGAAAAGATCAAACCACTAGAGAGAAGTGTTTTTAAGAATCAAAGAGAAGCTATCAAGAGAAGGAGAGAAGACACAAACCAGAAAAACTGGTGCTATGAAGTGGCTGGAGATTTTTGTATTACTGGGCATGTGCTCACAGGTATTGTAATAAATAGTGAGGAGATAACTGTTATAGGAAATTGATCAGAACACTTAATACATATATTTTATCTTAATTTGCAGGCTGCAGCCCAATCAGGTACTGTATGTTGTCTTTTACTATATTCAACTGTTGGCGGTTTATCACAGAACAAGAAAAAAAACTTGACTTGTCTGAAAGAATCTTTTTCTCAGGGTGCCAGATGTGTCTTATAATGATTTTTGCTCTACCTTCATTAGATTTTAAAGTGTCTGTGTTCTCTGCAACATCAAAGACTGTGACTCTCAGATGGACCAGGTACTCTGGAGCCACTTCATACCGGATCACTGTAAAATCACAGAGCGAACTTGTCGCTTTTGCATCATTTGGTCCAAACACAGTGATGGGCTCTGTTACCTCGCTGCCTCCAAACGTCATGTATAACTTCGTAGTTGAAGCAATGAGTGGTTCCCAAAAACTCAGCACTGCATCAGTTGAATCATCAACAGGTGAGACTTCATGCACTTCAGTCCATGCTCATGCTGTTTAAGATATGAAGTATACAGTCTTGTGTTTTCCTTCACTATTTATTTCTAAAACAAAACGTTTTTAAATTAATTTTATTGAACATGACTTTGTCCTAATAAGTTGTTCATTTCTAGAGGGTCCAGGCTGTGTAGCTGTTGCATAGAAATGCAACCAGTACCTTTTTAAAGTTTGGAGAACACGCTACAGCAGCTGATGAACCCAATGTATACCACAATGAAATCCTACAGTATTTGTAGCAAGCTTCATTTCTGTTGCATCGCATAAGAGTGTTAAGATTGTAGCTTATAATTTGAATGGAAAAAATAGAACTGATTCATTATGAAAAGGATGTCATTTAGGAAGTAAACTTTCCAGTGTTTCTTAAGTTTTTCAAACTTCCTGCTCGACTGGTAATACCTATTATTAGACTTTTATTACACAGTGTCTTTAAGTGTCCGTTCTCCATAGAGTTCAATGTTGTTAATTTTGAACTTACAGTTTCCCAATTAATGTTATTTGAGTAGTAAATTTCAAAGAATAGCCTGTGAAGCTCAATGGGTTAGAACAGGGGTGGGCAATCTCAGTCCACGAGGGCCGGTGTCCCTGCAGGTTTTAGATCTCACCTTGGGTCAACACACCCGAATCACATGATTAGTTCGTTACCAGGCCTCTGGAGAACTTCAGCACATGTTGAGGAGCTAATTTAGCCATTTAAATCAGCTGTGTTGGTTCGAGGACACATCTAAAACCTGCAGGCACACCGGCCCTCGTGGACTGAGATTGCCCACCTCTGTGTTAGAATGTTTGTAAAGCTGCCATGTTTAGGCACACTGATCACTGATCTAAATAAAATTATGTACGGCAAAAAGCTATGCCGGAACCATAAAAATAAGTAATTTTGCAATGCAAATATAGCTATCTAGATCTGTTGGCAGTTTTACTGCTAGTATTACTGCCATTTTTCAGGCTAGCATCACTAGTATCACTTGAGACATCACTAGTAATAAACATGTGATTTATAGTTATGTTCAGTAAATGTACCAGGGGAGATTCACAGACGATAAAGTATGGGGTAGTTTTGGTTGCTTTTTTAATTAAAAAACCACTTTGGCACTGATCACCACCTGCACTCATGTATATATCTTTCTACGTAGCACTTTTAATTCTTATTCTTATTTTTATTTTTTTCATGTCTATTTAAGCGTAATTTATGACAGTATGTTTACACTGAAGCACCACAGCAATTTCCTAATGTTGTAAACCTGCTCAATATTTGGCAATAAAACCCTTTCTGATTCTGATTCTTAATTAAACCACTTAAATCTAAAGTTCAGCACGCAGACACATACAGTAAAAATTAACTTAAGAGTGGACTTGATACCATCCCTGTTGTGAATTGTTTGTGCCTCTTTCAGCCCCTGATATGATGGAGCCCATTCTGACAGTGAAGTCACTGGATAGCACAACCTTGACAGTGGAGTTTAACTTGAGAAACGGGGTGTCTCATTACATCATACGTGTCGAGAACAGCAATGGCTTCTTCAGAGAGGTTGCAGCATCCTCCTCTCCAGCTGAGATTGAGTCCCTTGTGCCGTACACTGAGTACTCGCTCAGCATCATGGCTGTGAACACCGCAGGCCGCAGCCAGCCCTCAATTCCTGTAACTGGAAAGACAGGTGGGATTTTCAAATTACTCGTGTGAAATGGGTCTCACACCCCATGCCCTGCAGAGGTCACTTGATCTGTTTTGTTGTCTAAACAGCACAACCACTATATTCAATTATACAAGTGAAAGGTACAGTATACACACTCATCTTCAACCCTACGGGCCTCTCTGGCATCGGTGGTAACCATACCTGACCCCTCTATGTCAAACATAAAGAGCTGAACTCTTCCTGAGTAAAGGGTTACCAGCTCTAATCTCATCTTTATGGGGGGCAACATTCGATTCTCACGAACATGAAACATGAACTTGCAGCTGTAGCCTCTCAGCGGTGCAATGAGTTTACTGATCTTGCACCAGTCAACAGGTCTTGTTTAAAAATTTCTTAAGATTGCACCTGTTCAACTAATCCAGTCACTTTGTGACAATCATTTTTTAATAATTCAGAGAAATGTCCTCTAAACTTTTTCATTTATGCAAACTTGATTAACTTGAAACAGAAATGAAGACAAAGTTATGTGACTATTACCAAAGTAATACAGAGTTTATCTATTAATAATACTGATTACTTGCTTAATATATTAGTATTAGTACAGTTTTCATCGATAACATACAATTACTTGAACCTTTCACGCTTTAATACTAAGCAACTTTCAAACTGATTCTTGAACGTGAACACAATCAAACTCTGAAGCTCTGCTTCACCTAAAATGATCAAAGAAAATAACATAAGCGCACAGTCTGAATATGTAACAACTGGCAAGAGCTCTAAATGTTGCACCCACTATTAAGTTGACGTTACACTGACTTCCTTCACATAGTCTTGGATTAAACTTTTGGACTTTCAGTAATGTGCTACAGTATTCATCCCCCACACCAGTTACTACATATAAAACAGTCTAATCTTGTCTTTCACAGTTTTGGCTCCTCCTCAGCTTGCGTCCTCCTCTACGAGCAACAGCAGCATCGTTCTATCCTGGGATCCAGTTGCTCATGCCGTCCAATACACCGTGTCCATATGCAAGCTTGATTCAAACATAAGCATGGGCGTGTACAACACCTCCAACACCAGTTTGACCTTCTCCGGCTTGGATGCTGGCTCACTCTACGTCATAACTTGTTTTGCTTGGGATCTTGAAGGTCGAAAGGGAGACAGCTCGAACATTAAACAGGCTACACGTAAGCAGGCACTGAGACAGTTGTCTGTTTGTGACTGTACACTTTGTGTTTACTCTAGCATACAGAGTGTTATTCAGTAAGAGCCCTGGACAGCATGAAGAATGCTTAACCATGATCTAGGGTCAATGCTGCAAAGCAGTAAAGCCACCAAAACACACACAGTATTATAATTCTGAGGAGTCTTACTGTGGCAAATTATCCATAAGGGTTAATGAACATGCTGCTTAAAATATAGGAGCACAACAAGTATGAAATACTTGCTTTCTAAACTTAGAACCTTGAAAACTTCCTGTTTTAGTAGACATTTGAAAAATATAATGAAGTAAAAAAGCAAAATTTTCCACTTAATTACAACAAATAAAAGCATGCATTCAAAAATAACCAAATGCAGTTATATCACACTGGTTCCCGTGTCTACTCCAGTTTAGTCCTTCGCTGGTTTTGTTTTTATTTTTTGTCATCTAACAGGACCTCGGACCCCAGCGTCTGTCAATGTGTCTGTGGTGATGAATGGCAGTGTGGCTGGACTGTTGGTGTCTTGGGAGCCAGACCAGGAGGTCTATGGACCCATTGAGTACAATGTGATGAGTGACCTAAACTTAATGTGTAAGACCACATCCAGCTCCTGCACCCTCTCAGTAGTGGGGTGTGGAGAGGTACACACCATCCAAGTCACTGCCTCAAATGAGGCTGGGCCCAGCTATCCATCTAGCCCTGCAGTCTTCATCACCTGTGAGTAGAAGAGATATGAATGTGTCATCCACATAATGTTTTTTAAAAATACTGGAATTACCTTCCGGGTATGAAGCCGAATGCAGAAACTTGTATTGTTTCTAATGCATTGATTTAAATTAAGATTTATATTCCATATGACATGAAAAACACCCAAATTTAATTCCACATTACAAAAGTTGAATGTATCCTGTAAAATTAATGACCACTAAGGGTAACTATGGACCAATGGTAGCAATACTGAACTCTGACCCTTTAAAACCACAACATTTTAAAACTCATAAGCAGATAAAACAATTTCAACATTTTTTTTATATCACACTGTTTATATATCTTAAAGAAAACAATTTATTCATTAAAAATCTTCAAACTTTTAGTAACTACAATGCAA